GCCCTGAGACCGTGATCCCAGCACCAGGCATCGCTCTGAATGAGCCCCCTGTTCCCGGGGTCATCGCAGGAGAAATCTGATCTCCCCTCTGCAGCAGCGGCTCCGAGGGCCCGGGGCAGTGGGAACCTGCTGCTGTTCACCGAAAGTGCCGTCGGTATTTGATCACTCCCAGTGTTTTGACATGGTTTGCAGTTGGATACGCTCGTCCTCAGCCTGTGAACTTCGATGTGTCAATCAGGCAGGCCCGTGTCAGCCTCCGCATCAGCGTCTAGGAGGTCCACAGCTGACAAGATAACCTTTTCATGACTAACACAGTTGCCACTTAGAGGAATGGAGACAAGAATTTGGTCTGATCTCCAACAAGATAAGAAGCTGTTATTCACCTTTTTACACCTGAGGAACTTCTAACCCTTTTCTTGCCTTYCCGTTGCAAATATTCACCATTTTATAAAGAGGTTTTGCGTTTCTTTTTTGAACAAATTTTCCATGCAGACGATGAGCAGTGGAAGAAAAGACTCAGCAAATGCAAGTCACAGCTTTGGGCAGCTGGTGTGACCTRGGATCTTGCTCACAGACCCATCCTAAAGCCAGGGCACTGGTCCTCAGTGGTGTGAGCCCTGTTATGTGTCACAAGTGTTTTCTAAGCTGGGTGACATGTAGTGCCCAGCACAGCGTTGGTGTAGGTATCAAACACATGGCAGATTATTTCACTCGGGAAAGGCGACGGGAACAAACAAAGCTTTGGCATTTTCCCACAAAAAAAACCCCAACCAATCAACCAACCAACCAACCAACCAACCAAAAAAACCAAAAAATAAACCCGGAAAAGCCAAAACCAACCAACAACAAACACAAAACTCCAACAAAACACCAAAACCCAAACCCCAGCATTTGCCACCTCCTGTATCCAGTTCCAGGATAACCCTGCCTGTGGGTTCCTTGGGATTTGGGCCCTCTCCATGTCCTGTGTGCAGAGAGATGACCCATGGGTGTGGGCACATGAGAAACTCAGAGCCAGACCACTCAGAGCAAGGCAAGGCTCCAGCCCTTCATCCGGAGGCGTTTTTCCTAGACAGGAAGGTCACATCTTTCCAGGAATGTCACTTGCTCCRGCTCCTGTGTCTCTGTACACTACAAACCTCAAAAAAATACCTAAAAATGCCACCAAGATTCAAACCAAAATGACCAAGATTCAAACACCCAGCTGCAAACCCAGCCAGCAGTGGCCACTGCCATTTTGGTTTTCGCTCCAGGCTGCATCTGCCACACGCTCCCGAGCCATCCATTCACAGAGTTCAAGTTAATTAACATAATATCACTCAGAGCTGGCTGCCTATCAGTATCATCTAATCAGTGTCCTCAACTGACAATCTCTGACTTGATCTCTCCTTGGCCACCGAGCAGTGCCTGAACAGAAGCAGCTTTGTTTGGAGTCGCTGGAGACACAAAGGTCAGCTCCCATCCCGTTGCTGGCATTGCCCTTGCCTCGGAGGGCAAGGTGGAACCTGTTTTCGTGTCAGACCCCATTCTGTCCTTGCTTTGACAAGAAGGTATCRTTTGTCCCAGGGAGCCGAGACACGGAGCAAAGCAGCCCCACGAAAGGACACCCCAGGGGGACAAACCCAGGGACACCTGACAAGCCACCCAGCCTGACAGCAGGCATCTGCCACGCACGGGCTCCGGCACCTGCAGGAGATAAGGCCCAGCCAGTTTTGCTTTGGCAGGATCCATCCACACCCTGAAATAAGGAAYGGGAGGATATGAAATCCAGATGACAGGAGGACCCACATCTGCTACTCCATGGCAAGATTGCAAACTGGGCTCATGTTCGGGCTGCGCCGAGCGTACGGGCCAACTGGCAGGAGAACGGGCTTAAAACCATGAATTCTACTGATTATTCCAGACAAAGATCTGCCCTCATCCACAATCCTTATCCTTTCCCAAAATTACATACTCTACAAAATAACTATATGTATATATACACACACATTTGCCTCAAGAAACTGTTATTATAGGGTGTCATTACATTTTTGCAAGATTTTAAAAGTAGGCAACCARTCTGCATGACATGGGGGTTTTAATTTGGGGGAAGCAATTTAGCAAGTGTAAATTGGCAGTCAGGCTGATGGGAAGCCAGACTGATGCACCTGAGCATTTTTCAAATAGGAAATAGCTGTGGGTGGGGGAGAGAAACCTTTTATCTTTAAAACATTAAAAATAAAACCCCACAAATTTGAACACGATGTTTTAAGAAGTCTCCAAGTGAGAGGAATTTCTGAGGTAATTTTAACAACCATTGAAGGAAACAGCTATTTTTACATGTGGTGTTAACCCAGCCATTGCCTAGAGCTGATCCTACAAATCCTGCAGGGTTCCTGGGCCATAGCAGCTCCTCCACAGCACCTCTATTCCACCTCCCCCAGATCTGCCCTCTTTTCCACACAGCACCAGCCAGGTATTTCTCCAGGCCCACCAAGCCCAGTGTTGGACAAACCTCAAGTCATAATTTYCCCAACCTGTCCACCACAAGATGAGTCCAACCCTTTTCACAGCTGCTGTCTTGAAACAGAGCAAAAACTCAAACCAACCCAGGAAATCCAGGCTGCTCTTAAGCTGCTCTTTATTTTACAACTTGTAAAATAAAAATCTGCTTTTCTTCTTATAGTCACACCATTTTAGATTTTTTTTTTTGCAGGTTGGACACTTTGAAAACATTTTCCAGCACAGGAGCTGTAGAACAGTGACAGATGAAAGGCAGGAAGGAAAACCCCTTGTTTTGAAGGTCTCAGAAATGAGATGCCATTTGGTGGCATATTTATGGAACTTCTCCATGCCAGGGAGCTGTGATAAGAGCAATTCCTTTTGGAAAATACCCACCCATCCCTTGTAGGCAGTCGTAACATTGAGTTGCTCAGGTGAGAGCCTGGTGAAGAGCCCCAGCAAACTCCTCTCTGCCACTTTGGGTGGGAGCCAGAGAGAGATGTCTCACCTCCCAGACCCACCAATCTCTCTGTTGGCCACAGTGGACACTCCAAGGGCCAGTTTAGTCCCAGACCACAGAATGTGATGAGGCCCTTGGCACAGTTGCTCAGAGAAGCTGTGGCTGCCCCATCCCTGGCAGTGTGCAAGGTCAGGTTGGATGGGGCTTGGAGCTTCCACGGGACAGTGGAAGGTGTCCCAGTGCAGCAGGGGATGGCACTGGATGAGCTGTTAAGGTCCCTTGCAAGCCATGCCATGAAGGGGTCTGTGATTCTGTGAATTCTGTGAATTCTGTGATTCTGTGAATTCTATGATTCTGTGAATATTTGATATCAAAATCCCAATGACCAGAAACTTCCCATGTTGTCTCACTACACCCCACCCAAGACCTCACAGCCTGTGGAGATGACTCAAACCCTTCCCTCTCCCAGTCAAGAGGACACAACCACGCAAGAAAAGACCACGCTTCTTTTTTTTTTTTTTTTTTTTTTTCTATTAAAATTTTTTTTTTTTTTTTTTTTTTTTTTTTTTTTTTTTTTTTTTTTTTTTTTTTTTTTTCCCTTCAACAGTGATTTTTTTTTTTTTTTGCCTTTTTAATTTTATCTCGGTACATGATTTCTGACATTGTGTCAGCATCTCCCGCTGGGTCAGCCATCTCCAGACCCTGCTACATTCAGTGTCAGACTGGACGGTGGCCACGAGCCAGTGTTTCGAGCCTCTCAGTCACTCGCACATCTGTACGGGTTGTCGCTTACATCGGTCGTGAACAGCAGCACAAAAGGACACAACGCATGAAAACGAGAGTGGGGATGAGGTGAGGGGCAGCTGAAGGCTCGGCCCCGAGGAGAACTTGCCCCAGGTACCCACGGCTCTGGCAGGAACAGAGCTGAGCATGGGGTGGGAAAGGCAGGGCTGTCCCTCCTTCCCAAGGGGTGCTGGCACGGCTGGCAGCGTTTCCCAGCACCGGGACAGCAGCTCACACCAGCCCAGCATCCAAATTTGGGGATTTGGGATGGGTCACTGGTGGGCAAGGAAAAGGTGATGTGGGGAAGCACGGCCGAGCCCTGACAGGCCGGGTTGTCCACCAGCTCCAGCAGCATGTCCACCCCACAGTGACCTCCTGGACACCACACTGCCCCCATCAAACTGGAGCCAGCTCTGCTTTGTGTTTCAACTGCACCTCAAAACCAGTGGGGCAACCTGAGAACATCAAAAACAACCAACCCCAAAACCCAAACCTATCGCCTGAAATGAACTGATGTTCCTTCCCTGCCACTGGGCTTTTTGCAACCTAAACATAACGTTTATAAAAAGTAAATTATTTCCTCTTATAACTTAAGTGCATTGAGTATTTCCTTAAATATGGTTCACACTGAAAATAAAGTTACTTTTGCTGTACAGTAAATTTCTGATAGACTTAGAAATAAACTTTGTTGATACAATCTGGSAGGTGTGGCCGCGCGGCACTCCCAGCCACGCGTGCCCACGCACACACACATCCACACACACAGCCCYGTCCTCGGGGACAGGGACAATGTTAGGGGTTTCTAGCTTTCTATATTCGCATGGGAACATCTATCTCCAAAGTCCCTATGTTTAAGCAGCGAGCGCTCAAACGGGTTGAGGGAACAGAGGGGTAAAAAACCCCAAACCCCGCAGCAACATTTCCCTTCGTGCTCCCCCAAAGCGTTGTCAGCTTTTCAAATTYCAAATTTTTCAATTCTCARTTTTCAATTTTGGCTTTTCCAAAGGTGGGAAACAGCACCGGGATGCTCCCGTGGGAGAACCCCCCCTCCCCCTGCAAAAACGAGAAATCCGCGCCCCCGTTTGAAATTTGAAAAATCCACTCGCCAGCTGCAAAAACTGCTCCTGTCCCTAATCCTAGGCTCCTAAGAGAAACATGAAACTATGCAACCCATAACTTAACTCGCTCCTTGGGAACCCCAAGCTACAACATTATTAGACGGCATCCCCGCAGCGCTGCTCCCCTCCCTCCCAGCCCCGGGAGCTCCGTGGCCCCTCCCGGGATGGAGGCTGCCCCGTGCCGGGCACCACGCCGCACTCAGGAGGTGAAGTAGGAGTTCTGCATGGAGTACAGGTGGTCGATGGGGTTTCCCACTCGTGCCTGGAGCGGCCCCGCGTCCGCCGTGCCCAGGAAGCAGTCGCCCAGGTTGCTCAGTGAGGTATCGTCGCTGTCCAGGTCGTGGAAGAGGGGCTCGGCACCTTGGRGAGCAGGGAAGGGATGGAAGGGGTTCAGAGATTGCTTCTCCATGGAATGGGTTCAGAGCCTGCTTTCCCCTCCAGCACCTTGACAGTGCCCCGGTACCCCCAGCTTGTGCAGCATCAAATATTTAGGGGTGAGGAGACCCCACCACAACCCAGCATCTCTTTGAAGGACAGAAGGGAAAAGGCCAAGCCCACAGCCCTACCGTAGGGGTGCATGTGGTCTCCGGGCATCTGGGGCGGGGTGAGTCCTTGCCGGAAAGGGTCGGAGCCGTAGACGCTTTGCTCCATGCCCAGCAGCTGCTGGGGCGGGGGCAGGGTGGTGTAGGGGTTCAGCATCCCCTCCAGCCCCGCGCTGCCGCTGCCGTTTGTCTGGGCTGCAAGATAAGGGCGAGTCATCAGCRCAGTCTGGCTGCTGCTTTTTGGGTGGCTGAGCTCCCTGGGAAGCCTGGAGAAATGGGCACACCCCAAGCACGGGGAGAGCTGGGTGAGGGGTGTACCTGAGCTCAGGCGCTGTGTGTTTTGCTGGTCCTGCTGCTGCTGCTGCTGCCTCCTGGCGAGCTTCTTCATCTGGGAGAGGGGGGAAAAGCACAGTGAAATCATCCTCTGGTCCAAGCCAGGAGAGAGGGAGCCCCAGCAGTGGGTGCTGGCGTCCCTGGCACCCACCTTTGCCCGCTGGTTCTGGAACCAGACCTGCACCACGCGGACACTCAGCCCCGTYTCTGCTGCCAGCGTCTCCCGCACCTGGGAATGAAGAGTGACAACAGCGTCTCAGCCTGCTCAGCTTTCCAGGGGCACTTGAGGAGGGCTCAGAGCAGTCAGGGCCAGTCCTTGCCCAACACCGAGCACATCCCCAAGGGGTGGAGGCAGCTGGGCATGGGTCCATCTGCCCATACCTTCCTGCAGGGCTTGGAGGAGACCTCGAACGATGCCTTGAACGCCCTRCGCTGCTGCGTGGTCAGGATCGTCCGCGGCCGCTTGGGCCGTTTGTGATCCTTCCCATCCTCAGCGCCCTTCCCCGAGGCCTGGCCCAGCTTGCAGATGCTGTCCTCATCATCACTTTTGCCTAAGGAGGGAAAAAAAAGCAAGTCCTTTACAGACAACAAGCCACACACACCGTTTCCAGCATGATCAAAAAYAATCTGGGAGATTTAAAACAAGCTGGGGATCTTCTTGTGAATATGTGTGAGAAGCTGAGGTTTGGGGCTGGCTGCTCCATGGCAACAGGGAGAGCTACCATCACTTGAAGTTTGTGGCTGCTCAGTCAGCAGGTGTAATTTTTGGGTTCTTCTTTTCCCCAACAGTCTGAGCAGCTGCAATTTTCCCAATGTGAAACCCCAGGACAGCTGATTTTCCCAAGCACTGGGGTGCACCTCCCTGCTGCTCTCCACCACTCAGGGCACAGAGCCTTTGGGCAGAAACTGCTCCAGGAAAGTGGGCAGTGCCTCTTCCCAGCCTTCCTCATTTCCATCATCATCACCACCAGCCGCTGACCTCGCTTGCTCAGTGTGTGAGGRCAGTGATGCAGCTTTGACAGCGCAGCTCCTTCCCTCTCACAGCTATAAACCATTCACAGCCTTTTCCAGAAAGCCCCTGCACTGCTCATTTGGGAATCAGTAATGGAGCTGAGGTTTGATGTGGATGCACGGCTGGGCTTGGCCCAAGTCCACCCCGAGGCTGCTGTGGCTCTGGGAGATGGGGATGGACCAGGGAGAGTGAGCTAGGCTCAGGGTAATCTGTGGTGAAAAGGGGCCAGGCCAAACCCCAAACCATAGATCATACACACCAGGAAAGCGTCAATCCTCACTGGGAATGGGGAATCCCACCAGCCCAGGTGGGAATGGGGAAAGATGGGAGCAGATCTCCAGGGCAAGGGGAGGCAGAGATCCCAGTGGAGCAGCAAGAATGCTCAGAATGCTCCCAGGCACCTGAGTTACCTCTTCTCTCCACACTGCTGGGCTCTCTCCTGGGTTCCAGCCACACAGAGACCTTCCCTGGGAGTGGGCTGGGAAGGATGGGGCTGGGAGAGCTCTTCATGCTGGAACCCCTGGGAACCAGAGCCCAGCTCCTGCTCACTCATGGCACACCCACAGTGTGCCCACAGCAATGGAAAAGACAAACTGGTGTTTTCCTGCATGTCCCAACCCTGCAGTGGGTGTGAGACCCCAGCGAGGGGAGCCCCAGGCTCTGGAGTCTCTGATGGCTGATGGGGCTGAGCAGTGGCTGCTGCCTCCTCCTCCTTCCCAGGGCCAGCTCAGGCTCTGCTCTGCTCTCAAACTGCCACCTATCCCGGAACCTGCAGGAGTTTCATTTTGATGGAAAGGCAGGGATTTTTACAAATCGTGGCAGGAGGAATGTCAGCTGGTGCCTGCACCCCACTCCAGGAGGGTGCAGAGCCACAGACTCCATCAMGTCCACGATGCTCAAAGCCCACTCCAAGGGGGAAAACCCGCTCAGAGCAGCCTCTCCGAGCCCTCCCCCTGCCAACACCTGCTCCCCAAATCCCTCCCAGTGTCAAAGGGAGAGAAGCAAAAGTGAAGCCGGATTTGGCGGGGTATTACTTTTAATTAACTCTCCCTTTCAAGCCTTTCCCCACCGAGGAGGGGGGAGAAATTAATGAGTGTCTGGGGCTGCCCTGACGTCACCTGGGAAGGGGCCGGGGCGGTGGATATTGTGCGGCGTGCCCTCGCCCCGACCTGCCGAGCCCACATCCCGCCGCCGGGGCCGGGACATTCCTCGCTCAGGAGGATTTAGGGAGAGCAGAAACGTTAGGACGCTTTTAATTGGAAAGCGGGGTCCTCTTTCAGAGGGGCTTGTTTACTTAGGCTGGGCGGCGGAGGCTCGGGGGAGGCAGTAATTGAAGCGAGGGTTTGGGAGATTACAGACAACATATGGCTCGCTTTTTATCTGCGCTTTCTCATAAAGTGGCCCTTGGTGTGCGGCGGCCGGGGGGAGGGAGAGAGGGAGGGTGGGGGGCTTCAAAGCAGCCGGGGGGGACAGGGAAGAGGCTGGACAAGCTCATCACACGCTGCTGGGGAAGGGATCCAGGATGGTGCCGGACACCGCTCTGCGTCTCCCGGCAATGGGATCGGGGGGACGCAGCAGGACGGGGACAAGCTGCCACACTGAGCATCCCAGGGGATGTGCACCTGGGCTGGTCCCTGCTGTGTCACCGTCCCCAGAGCCGTGTGACATCCCAAGACTGCTGGTAGCCACCAAAAGCAGGCAGGGCTGGCAGTGGGGCCAAGCTTTGGGGTCAGAGGCTGCCTGGCCATGTCAGGGGCTTCGGGTTGGGTTTCCGACCAGYCAAGGGGGTGCCGTGCCCTTTTGACTCCCACGCTGGCCCTTTGSATCCCTCAGGGTTCAGCTGGAGTTTCCACCAAAATAAGTCTTTCCCCTGAGGTTTTTGCTGAGCTGAGCTCTGGGTTTGGCCRGAGCCCCTGGCAGCGGGGCCGGACCGCAGGCTGATGAGTCGCCGGGGAGGAAAAGCTCCCCAACCTTTCCCCAACTGCCCTTTTCCCCCACTMGGAACAATCCCAAACCATTGTGGCCAATTTGCTTTCCCTTCTGCACGACATCTCCTCATTGGTTCCTATTTTAACCGAAGGAGTTTGCACTTCCCAGYGGAAAAAATAGAAATTCTTCAATCAGTGAAGGACTTTCCCAGGGCTGAGGCAAGAGCCAGTGCCAGTGTGCCGAATCCTCCTGCACTGCTGCCTCTGCAGCTCCTCCAGCACTGGACCATCCCTCACCAGCTCCCCCCAGCCATCTCCTCCCATCACMTCACTCGATTTTTTAAACACCACTGTTACTTGTGGTGAAGATTTTTCTCTCCTGAGTGAGCAGGGTTGCAGAGCTTGGACAGAATCTGGCTCTCGCTGCAGAGGAGCACAGTTTGAAAGAGAAATRYGGGCTTGRGGCAATTTTTGCTTCATATCTGCAAAAAACCATAGCCATCCTTTCATCCATCCTCTCCCAGCTACAGCACTCAGGACAGAGTGCACCAGGCTTTGTCATGTCTTTGCTTCACACCTCAACCACACACTCCTAACCTTGATTTCTCTTTTTTTTTTAAATCTAGTGCTTTGCTCCAGCAGGGAAAAGACAGTCCCACTTGGCCCCCTCAACAGCTGCTGGCAGCCCCTTCCAGAGCAGAGAATTTCAAAGGTAAATCCTTYCCCTCCACAAGGCAGAGTCTTCCCCAAACAGGGATTTCAAGGGGAACTGAGAGATGCAGGTGGGAGGTTGCCAGCCTGGTGAGGAGCAGGGCTCTGTGGGGATGGTGCTATCGTGAGGATTTCTCGTAGATCATCAGATCATCTCCACCCTCGCAGTCCCCAGCGCTTGTTATAAGAGGGGTGAATAGAGCAGAAGCAGCTCCCTTCTTGTTCTCGGCCCTTTCACACTCCCAGGCAGGGCCAGTGTGGGCCAGAGGAGGGATTTTGCCCAAGGTGGTCAGTGTCCAGCTCTCCCTCCCACACCTGGGGAAGCTGTAGCCCCTYGGGATGGGGTGCTGGTGCTCTGCCCAGACCAGGAGCACAAACCCTTACAGAAATGATCTTCAGGAGATGGGATGGTCCACGGAGCATCCTCCAGCCCTGCAGCCCCTCCCTGCTGAGCTCCCTGACCACCAGGGTGGGAGAGACCGGCTGGAGGATCCAGTGCTGCTTACGGAGCTTATCCTTTCAGACCAAAGGGCAGAAATTCACCTCCAGACCACCCCCCACTCCCACCCCAGGGGCCTCGGAGCGGGACCAGCCAGGGAGACGCCGGGCGCGGGCGGCCCCTTACCAGAATCCGACAGAGCCGGGCTCACCAAGCTCAGCAGCTCCCGCTCCTTCTCGTAGTCGCCCTTACAGAGCAGCTGCCCCTCCTTGAGCACGAACTCGTCGCCCTTCTGCAGGCGCCGCTCGCAGACGCAGCAGCAGAAGCAGTGCAGGTGGTAGACGCTCTTCTGGGCGCGCATCACCAGCTCGCTGGGMGCGATGGCCTCCAGGCARCCTGCACACTTCACYGCGAACAGCCTGCGGGAYRGCGAGAGACAGCCCRCTGTGACAGCCYGCTGTGACAGCCCAGTGACATCCCGCAGTGACATCCCGCACAGTGTGTGACCCGTGGCGGGGAGATGGGCACCAGCACAGCGTCACCGTGTCACCCCCTTGGTGTCCGTGTTGTGTTGGGGGACTGGGCACGATGGCACTGGCACCCCACAGCTGGATATTACAATAAAGTTATTTACAGAAAAAAATTGATAAAGCGTTGGAATGGGCTGCCCAGAGTGGTGGTGGAGTCACCATCCCTGGATGTGTTTAAAAAGAGATTGGATGTGGCACTTGGGGCCATGGTTTATTGAGGTGTCAGGGCATGGGTTGGACTCAAAGATCTTGAAGGTCTCTTCCAACCCTAGTAATTCTGTGATTCTGTGTGATTCTGTGATTCTGTCATTCTATGATTCTGTGATTCTGTGATTCTGTGTAATTCTGTGTGATTCTGTCATTCTGTAATTCTGTGTGACTCTGTGATTCTGTGTGATTCTGTGTGATTCTGTCATTCTGTGATTCTGTGTGATTCTGTGTGATTCTGTGATTCTGTAATTCTGTGTGATTCTGTGTGATTCTATGTGATTCTGTGATTCTGTGATTCTGAGATTCTGTCATTCTGTCATTCTGTGTCATTCTGTGATTCTGTGTGATTCTGTGATTCTGTGATTCTGTGATTCTGTGACGGGGACGCTCGCCCTCTGCCAATGGGGGATGCTGCCTTTGGGCCAACTTCAGCAGTTTTGGTGATTACCAGGTGCTTACCATGAATGTGGTCAAGCGATGAAGATCCCAATATCCAGGTGCTCCATGTGAAAAAGAAAAGGTATCAAACCCAACAGCCCAGGTGCCATCACCACGAGGCACCACATGGGTTTTATCAAGACAGCAATAGGGCCAGTGAGTTCATCCATGCTTGTGCACCCACTGTCACTCACACACAAACCACCCCATCCCTCCAGCCTGGGTCACTGGAACAGCCCCATTCCCTCTTGCAAACACATCAGGAATGTCTAATGTGTCATACAAATCTCCAAGGCAGCAACTTTGGGGTTAAGGCCAGTGACARACAGAAGACTTGATGTGTCAAAAGGAAAAGAGAAAGCTCAGCTTGTTCCTTGACATTGATGTGACAGTGTTTGAGGCATCCCTAATTAAACTGTTCCCAGATTTCAACACACTGGCTTTGGACTAAAAAGCCAATAATAATAACAACAGCAATAACATTTTGGGTTGAAACAGAGCCTTTCTTTCTCTGACTTTAAATGTCCTTACTGACAATGATCAATGATTTACAGCTGGGGAAACTGAGAAGAGCAGAGGTGGCAGCATTGGTGTTGGCTTGAGAGGGCTTGGAGGCACCTGGAATTAACCCTGGGCTGGGTATTTTCAGTCAATGAGATGTTTGAAGGTATCAAACCAGAACCTCTTTGCCACACCCCAATATCTGAGTTCTTGTCTTGGACATCATAGAGAAAAAAAMCTTACTGTTTATTCAGTCTTGTCTGAAATATCTGTGGGAACTGGACATTAATATTCCCCYGCCTTGGTGCCTTTGGCCCAGAAAGGGAAGTCAAAAGTCAGCACACATCCTGCAGGGGTTATCTCCGAGCACTGCCCGAGTCCCAGCCTGGGGACTGCTGCATCCAGTCTGGCCCCAGAGAGCTTCCACCTCCAAGGTCCCCATCCCATGTGTCATCCCTGGGGAAATTTGGGGGCTGGGGAGGGGACAGGCAGCCCTGCAGCCACCAGCAGGCTTCCAATCTCATCTCATTTTTTGGCTGTTACAAAAACCCACAGAGGAAATGTGCTGAATCAGCCCCATTCCGACAAGCAGAGGACCAGATGTGTGCAAAACCCTCACAGGAAAACCATCAGAAAACGGGGATCATTTTAAAAAAGTGCCTGCTCCCTCCCAGATTTCCCCCAAACGGTTTTGACAAGCATGAGGGTCTGGTACAGCTCTCCTCATGCCAGCCAAACCCTGGGCACGCTCAGAAAAAGGTGGCATTCCCAAAGAAGTAGGAAAAGGGTTTTTTAAAGCTTTTATAAAACACTGTTGTCACCACAGAAAGCGGGAAAACACCAAATCAAAAGTGGAGGTTAGGGAGTTTATAATTCCAGATATTGCCAAGAGTAGCTTTAATTTTTCTAGATTCAGCTTTAATTTCCCAGGTTTACATATAACTGCCTGTCTCCAAGATGTATTCCCAACATCCTTATGASTGCCCTGGGAAGAGAGGGATGAATATTCCCTTGCAAGCATCCCTTCTGAAGGGTCATTTTTTTTCTTGTTCCAGCTCAAACACACACAGGCTTGCATTAATATTTCTGCAGTCACTTCATCTTTAATTACGTCTCTTTTATGTCAAGGCGGAGGCGATTTGTATTCATCTGGCAACACATTCTCATCCTGTTTAAATGATGTTTAAAGCCCTACCTGTTGGGATTACCAACTGCTCTCAGTAATAAAATATTGATAAGGTATTACACTGCTGCCATCTAATCTCCACGAATGAATGCGCCCAAAATTTGTTTCCAGGGCGCTTATTAGAGAGCCACAAACCTTTGCCAACCAGCCAAAGGTGGATGCAGCAACCAAAGGTGGATGCAGCAGTGGATGTTTCCAAGCCCAAAATGTGTTGTAAAGCAGAAAGCTGTGAGATTTAGAYGGCTGATATCAGACACTTAAAGCCATCACTGAATAAAGGGCTTTATTCCCCAAGCAGCTCCCACTGAGGGATGCCAGACAGTTCAGGTGTCTCTCACTGCCCAGTGCAGSACTGTCCCACCCCTGGGCAACATGATATGCACTGAAATCCCCACAAAAATCTCCTCCACAGTATGAAACTATAAAGAGCTCCTCATAAACACACAATAAACTGAGACCTCAAGCACCAAAAGGTCACCAAAAGGCAGAAAAAACACAGTCTGTCACAGGTAGTAACGGAGAGGGAGCAAAGGGTCTGCTGGTGTCCCAGCTCCCTGGACACCCAGCTACTCCACGGGGATTGGGGAATAACAGCTTCCATGGAGAAGCCCACACATGGATAACCCCCCTGGGAATAACCCCACCAGCATATATAAYCCAGCTGGAACTGGTCAGCCTGAGATGGAGAGGAAGGAAAATTTTCTTCCAGCACCAGATCTAACAATTAATTTAACGTTTTAACCTGAGCAAGACACGCCAGCCTGGATCCAGAGATGTTTTCCTCCATCTCTGGGACTGTCACCTCTGTGCCCAGCTCCCTCCTTCTGCAAGCAGGCTGTAGAGCAAATGCCATCTTTTCTCCCCTCTCTTTGTGCCTCCCTGCTCCTGAGGAAGGGATTTTGAGATCCATTTCCCTACAGGAAACAGCCCAGATGAAGAGAAGGATGGGYTCTGGAAATTCCACTTTAAACCAAAGACAAATTACCATTCTTCAATGGCCGCACCTTCATTTACGCCAACCCAGGGATGTTTCTGCTCTCAGCAGAGGGTTTTTTCCTCCATAACCTGTGTTCCAAAGCTAATTCTGGCCTGACTAGCAATGCTGGGTTTGTTTAGCCAGTGGGAAGCTGACAGGCACAAAAAACCAGTGATGTGAGCAATTTTTGTTACAACACATAGCCAACTTAAAAACTGTTCTGTTCTTGTATTGATTAATTTGCATTTTTTTGGGTTTTTTTGTTTTGTTTTTTTTTAAGTTTAGGTCCCTTTTGAAGTGACAAGCTGCAGTTTTGAAGCAGAAGGGGGCTGATAGTGACTTTCAAGAAAACCTCGAAGCAAAATTTGTGGGCATTTTCAAGAGCGCAGTGTTTCTGATGGCGTTACGGGTATTCCCCAAGATGCAGTCCCTCTCCTCCACACCATCCCTCTTTCCCAGAAAAGCACCCCAGACCTCTCCTTTGGGGTTTTCCATCCACACAGCACCACAGAAACCTAGAAATGTGACACAGACCTCTCTGGGGTGCCGCATCCTGTGTCCCTTCCCAGTGGGCAGCCCCGCTTTCCCAGCGGAGCCACCGCGGCCCCCGTGTCCCTTTTTTGAGGTGACAGGCTGAAAGGGGCCGTGATTGACGGGCGCTTCCCGGCTGCCGTCTGTCTGCGTGCCCCGCATGCAAACGCGGCCCCGCCGAGCCTCCCGGGGCAGCGACGCCGAAATTAAATCGTGACGGACAAACCTCGATGGCCGCGCCGAGAGATTCGGTCCGGGCGGCGGGGAAGGTGAGGCAGCTCCGCGGGGAGGGGAGGAGAGAAAGATGCTTTCCTCTCTCCCTGCCTGCACCAGGGATGTGCTGAGAGTGGTCCCTGGGAAGCCCTGCCGGGGCTGCCCGCAGCTGGCACAGCCACAGGGATGCTGGGTTTCCAAAATACCTGTGCAGAAAACTGCCCAGCTCATCCCGTGCTCTCAGCACGGCCCAGGAGGAGCCTGAGGAGATCCTCACTAACCCAGGGAGTTCCAGCCTGGCCACTCAGAGCCATCTCCAAGTGATGGATCCCACCGTGGCCAGGACTTTGGCACGGGCATGAGCCAATGGCCACGTGTGGCACAAGGGGAGGAGGGCAGTGAGCGTAGGGAGGGAGGACACTGGACTGAGCTGTGCTGGCACTTGGTCATCTTCTGACTCAAGGACACTGGACTGAGCTGTCCTGGCACCCGGTCATCTTCTGACTCACTGTGGAAGGGAGACAGCAGCAGTGGGTACACTTTGAGAGGCTGGCAGTGGAAAAATGCCACTTGCTGTCACCCCTGTGCCCATGGCTTGGGAATGAGTGGCTGCCCTGCTCTGCTGGGCTCATGTCACCCTGTCCCCGCTCTGGCCTTCACGTCACTTTGTCCCTGCTCTGCTGGGCTCRTGTCACCCACAGCTGCCCTCACTTCYCTCCCTGTGCACCCCAAGCCCTCAGAGAGCTCTCCAGTGGGACAGAGCAGGGATGTTTTCCCCGGGGCTCTTCTCCTGACCCTTCCCCGTCTCTGGGCTCCCTCCCCCCCGAGGCGGAC